AAAAAAAAAATTAAAAAAAAAAATACGGGGGCACCTGGGTGGTTCAGTCGGTTAAGTGTCTGACTCTTGATCTCAGCTCAGGTCTTGATCTCAGAGTCGTGAGTTCAAGCCCCACGTTGGGCTCCACGCAGGGCATGGAGCGTACTTAAAACAACAACAAAACGATATTTAGAAACTTCTCGAAGGAAATGTGTACTTTGCAACGGGGAAGGATTTTAAAAACTGGAAATACATAAGGAACTTTCTTAAATGGAAGAGTGACAGGTTGCACGGCCCCAGAATCAGGCGCTTATGTAGGACAGAAGCCACCCCAGTGAGGGGCAGCAAGCCCTCCTGGCCGGAGTGTGCACCTGCGGGGCTCCTGGTCCACCTCAGTCACTGTCACTGACATCTGGCCTTCCCTGGTCCACCTCGGTCACCGTCACTGCCCCCCAGCCTCCCCTCTGAGCTGAGGAAGGACAACACGCCCACTGTCCTGTCCCCTCCCTCCTGAGACAGACATGTGCCCTAGTGAACCCGAGTTGCCATCTGGTTTTCTAGATCAAACATGTAGAAATCCAGCCGCCCTGGCAGGTGCTCCTTCACCGTCTCTCCCAGGGAAGTTGGGGAGGCGCCATCCAGGGACGGGGTGGGGGCGTCTTCTTGGCCCCTCAGGACCGCGTTGTTGTCCTTGGCCTTCTGGAAGGTTCTGGGAAGGTTGGGGGCTAGGAGAAGGTGCATACACAGGGTAGTGTCCTGTGTTCATGATCTCAGACTCTCACTCTCTTGTCTTTGGAGGTTTACATTGTTTTGTGTGGAGAAAATGGAGTTTCAGAACCCAGAGAACTCTACTGTCCAGAGAAGCCCCTGTTTAAAAGGAACTCCAGACATACCTTTGTCCTGAGGTGAGTGTGGCCCATCAGACCCCATGTGGCCTTAGCACACGTCCGCGGAAGCAGAAATACCAAGCATCACTTCCCAATAAGGAGCACGTGCACACAGACGGATTTGTAACACTGCTCCCAGGGGTGTGTGAAGTAGACTAGAGTCCGGTTAAGTGCAGGAGGGAGGGAGGAGGGGTGTTGGGTTTATCCGCTGGTGAGGGTCAGACGCCCAGCCCTTCCTATGGTACTGACAGCACTCAGTGAATTCAGTTCACCCTGCTTGGGAGAGCAACGCTATATAAGACCCTGTGGTTGGACGGAGAGGGGTAATTTATCAGGAGTACAGGCTCCTGATGTTTCCAGAAAGCGTGGGAGAACTGCAAGGTTTGTTCTCCTGGAGAATTTCATGTACAATCCGTATGGGCTCCAAGTGTCCCGTGTTCATCAAGAAGAGGTTAACTCCAGACTAGTCCATGCCAGACATGCATGCATTAAGGAGTTTGAGTGGATTGGGTTCAGGGGCCCACGTGGACAAGCTGTGTGTGTGCTCAGCGCCCAGCATGGCCAGGGGCGTCGCTCTTAGTGGCTGTGGGGGCCTGAGGGCCCTGTCCACCCCCTACGTCCCAGAGCCCTGTCCACCCCCTACGTCCCAGAGGGGCTTCGTAGGTCAGTCTGTGTAACCCGTGTTTGCTGACATGTCCGATGTGTCCCCAAAGCGAGAATGGGGGCCGGTCCGCCCTCTGGGGCCCCCGCCGCCCAGGCCTGACCAGGCACTGCCGTGTGTGTGTCCCCAGCACCCCAGCTCTGCTGGGCCCGCTCCGCAGGATCCGCCTCTGGCACGACAGCCGCGGGCCCTGCCCCGCCTGGTACGTGAGCCACCTCATGGTGCAGGAGCTGGGCACCGGGCCCGCGCGGCGCTGGCTCTTCCCCGCTGAGTGCTGGCTGGCAGCGGGCTGGGGGGATGGCCACGTGCAGCGGGAGCTGGGCTGCCTTCGCCGGGGACCCGGCTTCTGGAAGGTAGGTGCCAACTGACCCGCCGGCAGGACGCAGTGAGGGCCCTGCTTCTCCGAACAGCACTAAGTTAGAATCAAGGTGGCCGCATCGTAAATGATGCGGCCACTGAGCGAGCCTGCAAGCCTGAAGGAATTGCCCTTGGGTTGTTGGTTTTCTTCCACAATAACGTTTACAGAATTACGGTGGCCTGTGGTCTGTGGTGACCAACGGGCTGCTAATTAGAGACGTGAGTGCCCTGGATTCCTGGTCACCAAAATGACCAGGAAACGGTCCAGGCATGGTCAGGGGGTCATGACAAAAGACAGAATTCCCTAAAACCTCACAAACCAGCTGTGAAACTCGCTCTGCGTCTGTCCTGATCTTTCCCCATTTGTGAGTGTGTTATATGCAGTTGTAATAACGCTTATGCATTTCGCACTTTTTAGTTATCTTCAGGATTTTTGTTTTAGAGAGAGAGAGAATGAGCAGGGACGGGCAGAGGGAGGGAGAGAGAGAGAATCCCAAGCAGGCTGTGTGCTATCAGCTCAGAGCCCAGCGTGGGGCTCAATCCCAGGAACCCTGAGATCATGACCTGAGCCAAAACCAAGAGTCAGGCACTCAGCCGCCTGAGCCACCCAGGCACACCCCCTTCAGTGATGATTTCAAAGCAAATTCATGAATTTTTCTGGAATAGCATTGAGCACCAAGCATTCCTTGAGTTGAACTGAACCTTGTGAAGCACGTGCAAATCTGTACGTGGCGTTCTGCCCACTACGTAGCAGACGCTGCCGGGCTACTGCGGACACCCAGGGGGATGCTCGTTCCTGGTCCTCAGTGTGCTCAAAGCCCAGAAAAAATTAACTGTGCTGTGGGGAGCATGCTGGGAAAGTTGATTAGGATCACCAGGGGAGGGGTGACACTTCCACTGAGCAGGAGGGGGGAGGGTTCCACTGGGGGAGGGGTTTGTGAACAGAGGCTCTGGGGAGGAGGGTGTGAAGACACTTGAGGGCGACAAAGGAGAGGCGGAGGGACAGCCTGTCCCAAAGCCCCCGAGTCCCAGCGCAGGTGGGGTTGCAGGGCATCCAGGGCACCGAGCGGACGAGGGTCGGCGGGGGCCTGCAGCGCCCACACAGCTCGGCGTCCGGCTGGTGAGCCAGGGGCATCCCCGCTCAGGAGGTCACTGCTTGCCAAGCGGGAGCTCCCGCGGTTGGTGCAGATGCCCCAGGTCCGCCGCTGTCTCTGCGCTGGTCTGTTCCAGCTCTTGTATTCGAAGTTCACGGAGTATCTGGAAGACTTCCACGTCTGGACCTCCGTGTACAGCCGGCCCTCACCCAGTGGCTTCCTGCGCACCCCGCGCCTCACCGTCGCCTTCACCTTGCTGTGCGCATACGCGTGTCTTGCTGCCCTGGTCACCGCCTCGAGGCAAGAGCGGGTGAGACCGCTGGCTTTTCTGTAAAGTGGCTTCCAATTCCCAGACCCACAGTGTGACACCTTCCGGACTCAGGGATTAGCAAAACTCAGAGTCCTAGGAGAGGTTTCAAGCAGGGGAGGGAGGCCATGTGCCTCGAGTGCCCCCGAGGTGACGTCCAGAGCTGGGGGGCCTGCGGGGTGGTGGCCTGCTGCATTACCTCCGCCACATGGATCTCGTGGCCTCCTGCTGCCACAGAGCAGGACTTTCCCAGCGGGGTCAGCAGCTTGGGCCGTCCTAGAAAATGCTCCTGGATTCTTTTAAGGTTGGCAGTTAATTCAAATTTTAAAAATCCTCTGACCACAAACAACAGAACAGTTCTGACGGCCACGTTTGCCCTTGGAATGCTAGCGTGCCCTTAGAAGCGCTGGCCTGGCCGTCCCTCATGTGATGGAGAGGTTACTTGTACCTGAGCGCAGGCAGTTAGATCGGAGACCCTGCTCTCCTGTGGGGAGCTCACAGGGTGACTTCGGGGTATGGGAAGAGAGTCAGCTTTGCTGCTTCTGACAACCTGAGGTCATCCGTGGTTCCTGCAGTGGCTGGGAACGTGCCGAGGGGTCCTGTCCGGTGAAGTATCCACCCGGGAGCACGGTGTTCCCAGTATGTGTGATAGCAGTAATGGATCGGCAGAGCTTTTTAAAAAAAGAGTAAGAGGTGTGTGGAGTTGGTAGGACAGCGGTACGTATTATCAGCGTGAAGGGAAGAGCCCTGTCCCCCTAGGACGGGAATGGGCCCAAGGTCAGCACACCTGAACTTGCCCTCCCCTCTGGGGTCACCCGGTGTGTGATCTTCTCGGCTCATCAACGCACTGGGGACACGGGTGCCTTACGGTCAGGTGCGGCGAGGTGCCCACACTTCCAGTCAGGTGCGGCGAGAGGTGCCTCGCAAGAAGGGGCACCCGGCAAACGTCTATTCAGTCTGCAGAGATGCGTATGGCAGAAAAGCAAAAAGATTCCTTGTGATTCTTCTGTTTTTTTATGAAAGGTCCAGGATTCAGGGAGAGGGGCCTTTGGTTAAACGTGGGGTACACACACATCAAACACCTTTGTAGCTAAACCCGGAATGGGTCTGGGGGACATGCGTCCTGCTGTCTTCCCGCAGCTCCCGTGGGCTCTGGGCGCCCCCGACGCGGCCTATAGGTCCTTCCAGACGGGTCTCCTGTGCACCCTGCTGGTGTCTCCCGCGGCTCAGCTCTTGTCGCTGCTCTTGAGGCTCGGCCAGGTACCCGCAGCCCGTCCACCTGGTCCTGCTGTCCCGGGTCCTCCCTCGCCTCGGGACCCCTGCCTGAACAGCCACCTTCTCCCGCAGGAGCCCAGCGGGCCACGCCAAGTGAAGCCCCGCCTGCCCCCGAGGAGGGCGCCCATGGGGGCAGCACAGGGTACGTGTGGGTTTAAAAAAGCCTGAAAGGTGAAGTCACAGCAGCAGCCAAGGATGAGGTCTGAACGGGGAGGTGCCGGGAGGGCCCCCTCCGTCCTGGCTGAGCCTCTTCAAGAGGCCAGTGCGCTGCACAGACCTTGCGTCTCCTGCGTCCTTTGCACTGTGTTTGTTGTGGGGACAGCGAGCGTCATCTCGTGCGCTAAGAGCCCTCACAAGGGGTTGTGCAGCCCCCGCCAAGATGCCACATGCAAGGGCCTCTCTGGCAGTCGGGTCCTGGGTCTCAGGGACTCATCTTGCTGGGGTCAGAGGGAGGGGCATGTCCTGAAGGAGGCTCTCTCCCTGAGAATCCTGAATCCCTGGTTTAATGTCCTAAATCTGACTCTTTTTAAATCAGGCCCTAACTCCCATGGCAGGACACCAGAGGCTCGGAAGATACACAAGGTAAACAGAACAGCCAACAGGGCTGGCTCTCTGCTGTCTCCCTCGGCCGTGGCCCCAACACGGCTGGTCAGGCCTAGGGGGGGATGGGGACAGCAGGGGCCGGTGCACAGGGCAGGTCCTGCAGGGAGAGAGGCCAGCTGTCAGGAGTCCCCGTGGAGGCCACTCGAGAAGGGCTGTGGCTGTCAGAGTCGTGAAAGCCACGTGTGTACAAGCAGTGACATTTGGAAGCTGGGCCTGGGGTGTGTCCGGGGGACAAGTCGCTTGAAGCAGAGGCCCTTGTTAGCTCCTGGGCCCCAAGAGGGGACACGGAACAAGTCCAGACAAGCAGACACGGCCTGTGACCCAGGGCAGGCTGAAAGGCAGCTTCGAAGTAGCTCATCCACATCATGGCTCTTCTTTGGGGACCAGTGTGACTGTGCTGCAGGCATGTGACTCTTGTCTGGGCCAGCGTTTGGGGCACAGGAGGCTCCTTACGCTTTTGAATCTCTGCCTCCTTGCCAAGACTCTGTCCCCAGGCCTGAGTCCAGGACGCTCTCCCCTCTGCTCCCCTGCTTGGAGATGCCCGATCCCCACCCCCAGGAGGCCTCTCTGCCCTCCCGCTGTGAGCCTCAAAGCCCCACTGCTCTGGCAGGTCCAGGTCAGCCCCCTGGAAGGCAGGTGACACCCCACAGCTCTCTGTAGAGGCAGAAGATCTAGTCCCAGGGCCACATGCCTCCTCCCCAGACCCCTGCCCAGCCTGAGGCTTGAGGAGGTCCGGGCCCACCCCCTGAGAGCACTCACAAGCCGTGGCTCAGAGGACACAGTATGGCCCCAGAGGATGGAATGCACTGAGATGTTAACCTCATCCTGACTTTGTATTTTGCAGCGTAACACTCTCCCTGGGTGCGCCAGGGCCCGCAGAAGGGCGGCAGGCGGTGACGGTGCAGGCGGTCCGACCCCAGAGCTGGAGGCCTGCGGAGCTGACCCCCGCCAGCGGGCCGAGGGGGAGGAGGGGGCACAAGGTGACGTCGGGGCTGGGTGTGCGACGCCAGGCCCCCTCCTGTCCTGGGCCCCTGGGGAGTCGGGCCCAATGACCCTGGACGCTCTGGTCACACATGAACCAGGCCCATCGAAACAGCCATCAGTTTTGTTCCAAAATCCTGGCCGTTTCCAGTGTTTACTTATGTGGGTCTGGTCACGCCTTTTAAAAAGTCAGGAGTAGACTTAACTTTTTTTTTTGAGTCTTCTGAGATTTGACGCTTTCAACTATTTCTGCTGCACAGCAGTGGGTAGCTGCAGCTCCAGACCAGGCAGGAGCTGAGCGCTGAGCCGGCAGGGATGGGGTCCCGGTGGGGGCAGCCAAGCAGCCAGTCAGGGCCACCTGAGGGGCCGCCGGGGACCTGGGCCAGCAGGTGCACGTGGTTGCAGGGGTCGGGGTGGTGGGCTGTGTGAGTGTGTTTCCTGGCTTCAGGCCACCCAGGGCCTCAAGTCCTGGCTGCAGGTGCCGGCCGCGGATGCTGCCATGCGGACGGTGTTGGTAGGGCTGGTGCCGGTGGTGGGCACAGCACCCCACACGTGGGGGATGGGGTGTCGAGCACCTGGGTTCTGTGACTGGTTGAGGCCCGGGGCCAGCGGCGTGCAGTGCAGGTGCCCGCCCCGCAGGAATTGGAGGTCACATTCACCCCAGGACGGCCACCTGCGGCCAACAGCTGGTCACGCACACGGGGCCGGGAGCCTGGGGGTTCAGCCCAGTAGGCTAGACTCGAGGAGGTCATCAAGGAAGGACAGCCCGTTGTATATGCACCAAGGGTCCCTCCCTTGCCTAGCGCCTCCTCCCCAGCAGGTGCTCCTCAGCTTCCACTGCTGGCGGCAGCCCTAGAGCCGCACCGCCTTTCCGCCTCTGAACAGGTTGGGATCCTCCTATCGAGCAATCACCCGAGAAAGCGGGGCTCCAGCGGCCTCCTCTTGGAGACATGAGATGGGGGTGGGGACCCTCTGATGAAGTGCTCGGCTCCAGAGAGGTTACACACCGGAGCTGCGAGAGGTGCTGCTCCCAGGTGGCCCCCCCCC